GTAAGGTTACACTCTCACTCAAAGGATGGACGATCTGACAGAATTGTTACTATGAGGTGGATCACATCGAACGCAGGGCTGCCAACTCACGCATTCAGCACGAGACTCACACAACTGACACCATTCTCACGCCACACATCCATTTTCTCACGCAGAAAAATGTCCCAGCCAAATTCAATTTATGATAAAAAATAATAATAAAAAAAAATTAAAAAAAACACCAGACAGCACTTGTCAATGTCAGAATGATTTAGGGGTTGGGCACCCCTGATTTACGTGATTCACCTAATTCGTAACCGAATGTGGCAAGGAACATTTTGTTGTTTTGCTTTTACATTTGCACAAATTACCTCCTAATTTTATGTGTATTTTAAAATAAAATATTATTTGTGAATATTTAAACGGATTACGAAAAATTCTTTCCATTTTTCTCATCTTTTTTTGAGAGGCTCATGAATATTAATTAGACAGGCCAAAATCGACCTGTTCTCAGCAGAGCTCCTGAGAGAGGAGCTGTAAAAATATATTGAGATGGTTTTTGGTACTTATACCGCAAATATATATTATTAAGGACATCAAGACTTAAAATAAAACTCCAGAAAGGTGTAAAATATGTGACCTTTAACAGTAACTTAAGGTGTTTGACGAGTAAACATGTACTCTAATGAGGTGATTATCTGAATCAGGCGTTTTTATATCAGTATTTACGCTATTAACATTTCTAATTATTGCTCATTTAGTATGTAGCCTACTGAAGTACTTAGTACGTGAGGCAAAAGAATGTAAGATCAAGGATAAATCTGCGTCTGCTCTATATGTGCTGTTCACCAGATCAACCAACACTAAAAGATACAATAGTGAAATAAATTCTCATGTACCTTTTCTTTACCAATTCTAAGATTAAATCGAATGAACTTACAGGTAAGTAGGAAGACATCAAGATCGAACATGTTGCTGATAAAAAGGGAAATGCCTACTAAAGTTACCGGTTGAGTGGATCTATTTATAGGCTACATTTTGTTCCGAGGTCATGGCCAATTAATGTCAGCTGGGTCAGACCAAGTGATTGCAGTTTGTAATTCAATTGGATCAAGATCACAATATGTAAGACTTTTGCATTAAAACATCCAAAAACCACTAGAACAATTTTATATATTTTGTTGACTTCTGTAGGCTACTTACATCATCCCAATACAGGTCCAGAGAAATCATCATTTTGAAACGGTCCGTGTCGTTGTGCCATCTGTGAATGGCATTATATCTCCCAAGTTCAACCCTGCTTGTACAACATGTATCCAATGTTAATTTCTATGTAGGCTTTTTTTTTTTTTGCATTTTGTTGTATATAGATATCATGAGCATCATGCTCTAATGTCAACAAATGAAATCTTATTGTAAAGTGTTTCCATTTCAAGTATTTTGATTGACTACTTGTTTGCTTTTTAAACTTAGGTTATTTTAAGTTTAAAAAATGGCAATGTTATAATTAGAAAGATCCCTTAATCTTGGAAGACTCCCCAATGTGGACTTCAGTCAACATTTACTGCCATGTAAATGTTTAGTACAAGAATCAATATGCTAGGTAAGGCTGGACTACACTATGAATACAGTCACCCCTTATGTGTACAGTCAAGTATGACACAGAGTATGAAGGTAGTGACTTGATGTGCAGTTGACACTAATGCAGATAAAACGACAACAGTGTGAATATGAAAAGACTTTATTTACTGAAAAGAAACGTCTTTTAGCACAGACCATTAAATATGGTGGAACTTTGAGGGAAAATCTTCCCTGTACACTTGCCTTCAACAAACATTGACAGTTTATGTGAGAGAAAGAAGTGGTAATACGGCCAAGTCTCTTGCGTTCAAACATTCTCATTTCCCCTCAGTGGGCATGATGGTAATATGAGAAGTTCTTATGTTACATTTTGGTAGTGTAGTACAGATGTTTAGCCATGAATACACAGCATAATTATTCTTACTACTTATAGTCTTTGCAAACCATTGAGTGCTGCTTCCAACCAGCTTTGCAACCAGAAAATGGAGTGTTAATAATCAATTTGATCATTTATATTCTGGAATAAAAATCTTATGTGTAATTACTTCAAAACTGTGCAAAGCATTTTTTTTTACAATGTTGCCAGAATTCTTTGGTTCTAGACGTGACACCTCTTTGCTCAGATCTCTTCATAGTCACTGGATTCAATCAAACCAAGGGGCAAAAGCATGGCAATAATGACCTATACTAGTCCAAAACAATCAATCTCTGGAGCAAAACTTTGATCTGTAGTTTCCTCTTAATAATCATCTATCTTGTAATTGTAGTTGTAGTCCAGTGCATCTGTCAACTCAATCTCTTCTGGTGGGGTTGTGTTCTCTTCAAAGGTTTCCCCAAGAGGCCAAGAGTCATACCAGGGAGTTGTACTCTCTGTGATAGGTGGAACTGTGGTTGTGGTCATCGTGGTTGTGGTAGGTAGCATTGTTGTTTTGCTGGCCAGAAGCCTCTGTTGCCTTAGGCGGCGGATTCTCATTAGCCGTAGTCGACGAAGCCGAGCCCTATTCATGTCCCCACCATTACCGTTAGGAATTTGATTACTGAATTTAGAATTTGGGATTTGGTTAGTGCTGTATGTATAGCGCTGTCCACTACCCCTGTTGCCACTGCTCAGCAATCGGATGGGCCTATTGCCGTGGAGAGCCATGATCTGTTTAATGCGGTCCCAGTTAGATTTGTTGAGGTCAAAGTTGCACAAGGTAGCGCCTGGGTCGAACCCTACCACACACAGACGGGTGAAGGGGGAGTAGCCTTCTGCTCGGGCTGTTACACGGTACTCACCAGGGTTTAAAAGTCGCCAGTAATCTCCAGATTCACCTAGGAGTAGAAGACTTTTTTATTGAAACGGTTCAGTACCCTAAAAACAGGGCAATTTTCAGAACTACAGAAAATATCTCACCTGTCCTAACGTCATGGTTGACTCCCTCCACAGACACAGTGGCATTGGAAATAGGGTTGCCCTCCTTATCCCTCACAACTCCCTTAATGCCCCGATGCACCTGGGAAAAGGACCATGGTTAATGTAATGTAGCGCAGGGCAGTGTTGTAGTCAGACTGAAGTCCATCTCATGCCTGATTCCAGGACCGTATTTTTTGGAGCATTTGGACTCACAGCAAGGAACTTGCCTCAAAAATAGGATCTTGGGACTTGATACGGATTTGATTTGGTTTTGACCAGACTCAAGTACTACAACTCTGGCGCTGGGTTCTCAAAGTCTTACCTACAAGGGATTTTCTGTTTCTAACCCCTTGCAACTGTCCTGTGCCCATGATGGGGATATGAGTAGCTCACCTGAGCCATGAAGGTCAGCAGGGCCTCTCTGTTATGCTCCCACTCCATTAAAAGTTCACTCTGATGAGGGAACTTATCACAGCCCAGGAAAATGGACAGCTCAAAACAGTTAGTGTGAAGGTAGCTGAAGTCATTCATACCTAGAAGAGAGGTAGGGACAGGAACAGGTATCAAAAAGAAAATCTCTACAGTTATCAAAAAGAGAGTCTCTAGGGTGTCAATGTAGATTCAATTTGATCTTACAGATCCTCCTAGATCAGGGCTGGGCAACTTCGGTCACGGAAGGCCACTGTCCTGCAGAGTTTAGCTCCAAGCCTGATCAAACAGACCTACCTGTAGCTTTCTAGTGGTCTTGAAGACATTGTTTAGGTTGTTCAGGTGTGTTTGATTAGGGTTGGAGCAAAACTCTGCAGGACAGTGGCCCTCCAGGACCAAAGTTGCCCAGTGTCTTAGATCAAGTGTGTCCAATTCTGCTTTTGGAGGGCCACCTTCCTGCAATTCCCACCTTCCTATCAGAAAAAGCATTTGGACCCCGAAACGTTGACTTACAACATCAGACTTAACACCAGATAAAAACTTCCAGGCAGGACCATGGGAAGCTAACCTTTGCAGGGCCCACAGAAGCAGGATTGGACACCTTCTTCTAAATTATCCAATTAATGATCTATCACATGATGGTGCAAGGCAAGTTCCTAATGCTCACTTCCTGGGATGGGCTTCCACTTGGCACGGTTGACAATTCCCAGCCCACCTGTTGGGTCATCAGCTTGGCATCCTCCCTGAAAGGTCTGAGTCATGGTGCGGTGAGTAGAGGCATAAGATATGGCCAACCAGCGGAACAAAGATTGGTCCTCAATCCCTCTGATCTCCTCTTCTGGTTCACCCTCTCCATATCCCTCCCTATATCCCTCTGAGTATCCTTCTTGATAACCCTCATGGTACCCTTCAGAGTGACCCTCATGATGGTACCTTTGGCTCTCATCATGGTAGCCTTGGTTCTCATCGTGATACCCTTGGCTCTCCTCATGATATCCTTGGTTTTGATGGTGATGCCCATAACTTTCTTGATGGTACCCATAGTTCTCTTGATTATATGCATTTTCCTGGGGGCCACTGTAGCTCTCCTGATGGTATCCAATGTGAAGGTAAGGGTTGGGTTCTTCTTCTTCATCTTCATATTGTCGCTTACGTCTGTTTGCTCTAGAATTGAGTTTTTTCTCCATCTCCTCAGATTCCTTGGTGAGACGGCGCATGTCAAAGGGATATGTCACAAGTCTCTCGCCACCCTGCAGGTTGGCACCAAGCACAAATGGATGGCTCTCCATCCAAGAGATTAGGGCAAGAGTCTCCACAGCAACCTGCAAGGCAGAACATAAAGTTAGTTTATGTCCTTTAAAGGGCACCTATTATGCAAAATCCACTTTGGACATAAATGTGTGTTGGCAGTGTGTGAACACAAACACCCTACAATGATAAAAATCCACCCACTCCTCATTTTTCAATCCCCTTTAAACCAAATCAGTCTCACTAAGCAAGCCGTTTTGATTCTCTATGCAATGTGACGTCACATTGCATAGGGCCGGGCCACAGGGGTTGATTGACAGCTCTGCATTGCTATATAGTTTCTGCCCTCAGTGGTTGTATGCTGTCCTCCATTTTCTCCACTCTCGAGTAGCTGTAACGTCAACAATGTTTTGTAAGCAATCCCGGTGCTCTGTGTTTGGATGTAAGACTGAACATAAGAGTCTTCATTTTCTCCCAACATCTGAGCTGCTGAGGACGCTGTGGATTACTTTCATTTCTCAAGGTAATGCATCTCAAAATATACCTAAATACATTTATCACTCCAGACTCCTTTGTGAATGTCATGTCGTTATAGTGGTTAGCGTTTTCACTGTATTTGTGTGCGTACATTATCTTAGAATTTTAATTGATCAGCGCCGCGCTCTCTATTCGGTAGCACGGTCACGCGGCTTGGTCCATTGAGCGAGTTCCACATACTCCATGACGTATACGTTATGCCTCTTCTGGAGATGGGGCAGGAATATGCAGCTCATTTGCATTTAAAGCGATACACTCCAAAACAGCTCTTTTTTTAGACGCACCCCAAAAATTACATTTTCTAGCTGTTATAATAAATGATCTGTGGGGTATTTTGGGCTGAAACTTCACAGACACATTCTGGGGACACCCAAGACCAATATTACATGTTGTAAAAAGGGGCATAATAGGTGCCCTTTTAATCTGATCTCTAGCCAATTTCAATACGTTCATGATCAGAGTATGTGAGTGGTGCTTTGATTTATTAAATGTACATACATAACACAGCATTATTTCCTTACTTACTGAGCCATTGCTTGACAGTATACCCTCAGGGATGGGTACATGGTGATTTGGTATCAATTTGGGTACCATGCCCTTATCCTCTGCATCCCAAAAAATGTTATTTAAGTCTGGAAAGTTCTGGAAGATGTCATGGCCATCTTCAGTCCAGTGCCCTAATGTCCAGCTACCCAACTCTGAGCCCTGTGAAACAAAGTGATATTGCTTACAGTACTTTAGTGAGATTAAAGTGTCGCATCAAAATTTCTATTTGTAGATTTAGTAGACTGTTTTATCCACATTCATCTGTCTAAACTTAACTTTAGCTTTTT